GCACAGATCGGCCTCGTTGGATATCTCTGCACCCAATACCCCAACAGCCCGCCAACTCCAGCTACTGTCTCCTCGACCACTTCTGCTCCAACCCCCACGGCTTCAAAGTTTACCACCGATGCTCAGAGTCCCATGCCCCGCCGCTGTCGATCACTGCCATCTCCATCATATCTGCCACAACCTCCTCATCGACGACAGCTACGACCACAGCTCCCATTCCCGCTACCACAACCCCTGTGGAGACGACAGCGACCACCGCAGCTCCCCCTAACGAACCAAACCCTCCCGACGGCCCACCAATTAATTTCCCTTCGACCAGCGCGCTCACCACTAACACCGTTGCATCACCATTAGCCGAATGACTGCGTTTATTCACAATCTGCCAACGGACAGTGTGTAGTCTAAAAATCTGTATACAGTGGTTGGACAGGGCATAACCCGTCGCTTTTGAATCAATAAGATCGGGTAAATTTCACCCAAGTTTGCCAAATTGGGCTTAGATTGCTGACCGGAACGTCAGTCTTAGTGGTTTTTCGTTCGATTTCTCGCCAGTTTTTTTTGTTCCTGAACTCACTCACTGCTGCGTACGTTTATAAAATCACCAAGGTCCTTATCTTCTCCCTCCACTGTCCATTCGGAGTTACTTATTTCCGATTGGAGAACACAGGAATATAAGAGACTGAAGTTAACAGTCTGGGGGTTAACCATTCTCTAGATAACCTGATATGTAGGTTCCTTCACGTCTATTATTTTGGTTGCATCGTTCTCTTTTCTGTTTGGCTTCAGAACGGAACTCTGTCCTTCTCATTTCCGACTTTCCTCTTGGCGTGGTGGACCCGTGAACTGCTGACCTATGTCATTTAGGTGAAAGCAATGATTCACCCACGGACGGTGAAATGGAGTGCACATGCCTACGTCCTTTCTTTGGGCGGTCACACCCGATTTGCCACCGACCATCACCTGCCCGCGAGGTGCGGGCGCACTCACCTCCCGCCAGTACACTTTGCCGCCACAACGACGGCCTCACCGACGATGACAACGAAGGTGCCGACCGGCAATGGCGGTAACGGAAGTAACACAAGTCTCACAACCCACCTATCTGCGGCTGAAAAACAGATAGGGATATCCAATGGGACCGAAGTGCAGCCCAACGGTGGCAACATGTTCACTTGGCGTCATTTCCCTGCCAATGGTTGCATTCAAGGAAATGCAGGGTTGGTACGAAAAGTGAACGGATATTCCTCTCTCGCCAATGGCGGAGCTAGCAGCACGGCTACCACTCGCCTATATCACTACGGGCAACCGCGCGGTACACTCCTGATGGATGATTAGTTGACGCACAACTGCTCCTATTTCCGGCTATGATAGGGCGCTCGGGACTGCCGGGAACTCTGTTACCATTGGATCGATCGCCTAATAAAGCTGACGAAGGAAAACCCTGTACATAGCTTTTTTAATACTGTCTTTCCAAAAGTGGAGATGGGACTCAAAGTAGATCATAACACTACCGAGGTCGTCGCCCTGCGTCTTTCCTATCGCACTCGCCAAATTCGTCCCTCCTCCCTCAGACAGGCTGTCCAGGTAGTTGTCAGCCCGAGATGAGCTTTTAACGTCATTTTTTGGCAGCAGGCCACATCAAGCGCGCAAGCAGATGGCCGCCGCCTCATGTTGCTGATTCTCCCCTCCCCCCTCCTCAATCACCTGAATTTCTCTACCCTCTGCCTGCCCCCACCACACCCAGTCTCACGTTTCATTTTGTCCGTTTCGTCTTCTGCTGCCCCATAGCACAATAAATGCAGCATTTGTTTTTTTCAGAATCCTGCCGATTCGTATTTTTCGTTTTGCCCACTCTGTGGCCGTTCTTCGTGTGATTGGGGGCTTCCCTCGACTGCGTGGATGCGATTTTTTTCGAGATGTTTCCTACGTTTTAATTCTTCCCCTTGTAAATGACGCGTCTGCGGTCTGACACAAGCATGTTTCCTTACGAGTTTTCGTTAGGTCTCCTTTCCCGCCACCCGCTAGCCCATTGCATTCGTTTGCTTCCCCGAGAAGTGATATTTTTCGTAGGTTTTGCCTTTAAGTTTGGACGTGCATGCATATTGAAGCCTTGTGGCTGTGACACCTATCCTCTTTGCCTGCAGATGCACGCATGTTACACGAAATCTCGGCCATTTTTGTTTTCAAACCGACCGTGTTTCATATATGTGCTTTAATTGCCAAAAGCTTCGGAACTTTCTCGATGTCTTTCTTCCCTCTTCTTGGTTTTAGGGGGCTGTTTCCAAGTTTTCAACTTTATTTCTCTCTCGAGTTACCTTTAATGCCACTTTATGTCAAATGGTACTCAAGCCCTTTTAACCAATTCGCCCTCGGGTAACCACCTACACACTTGACTGTTGCGCCCGCGGCATTTGCTTTGACAACAGTTGAAATCTGTCCACATTCCTCCAGACAACGACTGGGAATCGGAGTGTGCGGTTAGCATTCTAGTCGCTTAAATATCCTCTAGCCCGACACATGATATCGGGCCAGCAGCGCCCTTGGATCGCGTGCTGCTGCGCACACACCCCGGAGCCTGTCTCTGGCTTCTGCTGGGCGTGATGTAAAACCGATGCAGAGCGCCATGATCAGGGCCCTACGAACGGTCTTCGGTCCCCTTATGTAATCTGAGGTCGAGGTACGAGTGTTAATGAAGTGGTCTTCGGGGGTTGCTCACCTCGGGGCTGAGTATGGCTGACTGACGACGGCTAATAAGCCAGAAATTTCCATTGCAGTTTTTTGTGTCTTTGTCGGTAATGCTCTTCTGCCTAAAATGGTCATCACTTAAAATAGCAGTTCACGAGCCAACTAAGATAAGTCTCTTCGCTCTGAAAACTCACATCTTTGGCACCGTTGGGAGTGCCTACACTCTCAAAAACAAGAGCCAGCCAATCACTGGAGGCCACGTGCGTTTTCTCTACTGCGCTGTCATCTTAATCGTTGCGCCTCTCCATTGGCTTTTCCTCTCGGGCCTGATCGATTTACATATTCGAATTATCGACCGGCTCGGTGAAATGTTCTTCCAGAAGGGCATTGGGCCGAATGCCGGCGAAGCACAGTAGGGCGTTATAAATATGCGTTACATCCAGTTAATTTGACTTGCAATTTCCTAATACACCTTTTCGTTGGCGGTCGCGTTCTCCATCTCTGCTGCGTTGGTATTGGGGGCAAAAGTCGAGTACTTATACGTTCCACGGGATTTCAAGTACCAGGCGGGTCGTAACAGGCACAAAGGCTTGGATATTTTGCCAAAAGCAAAACAGAAAGGGGAACTAAAGTGAGGTGCCGATGATGAATCCCACACACTCAGCTCCTGAAGTTGACTGACACGCTTAAAGTCTCATTCAGAAGCAGGCTCAATTCTCAGACCCCAAGTCCTCCCTGCCAATTAAGCTCCAAAGCCCGGATTGGCTTCGCTAGGTATTTTCGCACTCAATAATATCATCACGTTCGAGGCGACAAGGAGGTGGTCCGTCCAACAGTCGGCACCACACAGCGTCTGTCACTAACACATCACAACGACCACGTCCCCTGACAGATACGTAGTCCAGCCGTTGACAGTGACGTGAGCGGGATTGCCTTCTACCGGTCTGAAAGATGCAAGAAGCCGTTTGTAATGAAGAAATTGCGTTCTGTGCACGCCTACAAAAGAGGAAACCCCCTACTGGGGCAACTGTCAATCCTACGACAACCTAACACTCACTCCCAGGGAGCCTAGTCTTTGCCAATGCTGGCATTGAAGTCACCAAAAACAATCGGTCTGGTCGCATGCGACAAAGTCGCGGAAGAGCGTGCACATGGTCACACTAATTTGTCCTTCATGTGTCAGAGCTGGTCATTCGAGGGCATTAGTGCCGACAATGACGACAAATATGGCCACTCAAAGTGACAGGCGCAGGGTTAGGAGACGTCCTCTGTTTCTGTGCATACGAAAAATTCAGTCGTAGCAAGATATTATTTTTGGTGAATAGACGTGACTCCAGCTTCTCGGCGCTCTGCCTTTGGACTTCAACAACAGAAGAGGGTGTATCCTGCACCCGCCTCATTCAGCTAATCGCGCTCATAGAAGTGAGTGTCGCCGAGAGCCGTGATCTTCATTGGATCGATCGCCTAATAAAGCTGTCGAAGGAAGACCCTGCCAATAGAAGCGAAGAGACGAGTCCCAGGAAGCAGTCTTGAAGAAGAAGAAGAAGAAGAAGAAGAAGAAGAAGAAGAAGAAGAAGAAGAAGAAGAAGAAGAAGAAGAAGCAGAAGAAGAAGACATGATCGCCGGGACAAGAGCTTTATTAGCCTGACGTTTCGGATTCCTGCTCGAATCCATCATCAGAGACATTAGCAGATAAGGGTGGTCCATGCACATGCGGCTGCAGTATTTATAGGATGCAGTAGCAATGCTACCGCATACCTATGAATATTCACGGCTCCCTCCCTTTCATCAGGGATCGTTGCATGTGGCGTGATGGCCGATATTCGCGTCGTTAATTGCTGCAATTTCATCACGTGCGTTGGATGTTTGTGTGATGATTGCTCGACCATCTGACGCGCTGACCCGGGTGTTGGGAAGAGTGTTCACCAGTGCGCTCCCCGCGTGGCCAATTACTCCGCCTAAACGAAGTCTCAGCACGCTGTATTGAATGGGAAGATCATTGCACTTGTTAATAGACTGGTGGCCAGTAGGAGTAGTACATAGTAGTAGTACATAGTAGTAGTAGTAGTAGTAGTAGTAGTAGTAGTAGTAGTAGTAGTAGTAGTAGTCGAGTAGTAGTAGTGGTAGTAGTAGTAGTAGTGGTAGTAGTAGTAGTAGTAGTAGTAGTAGTAGTAGTAGTAGTAGTAGTAGTAGTAGTAGTAGTAGTAGTAGTAGTAGTAGTAGTAGTAGTAGTAGTAGTAGTAGTAGTAGTAGTAGTAGTAGTAGTAGTAGTAGTACATAGCTTTTTTAATATCGTCTTTCCAAAAGTGGAGACGGAACTCAAAGTAGATCATAACACTACCGAGGTCGTCGCCCTGCGTCTTTCCTATTGCACTCGCCAAATTCGTCCCTCCTCCCTCAGACAGGCTGTCCAGATACTTGTCAGCCCTAGCTGAGCTTTTACCGTCATTTTTGGCAGCAGACCGCATCAAGCGCGCAAGCCGATGGCCGCCGCCTCATGTTGCTGATTCTCCCCTCCCCCCTCCTCACTCACCGGAATTTCTCTATCCTCTGCCTGCCCCCACCACACCCAGTCTCACGTTTCATTTTGTCCGTTTCGTCTTCTGCTACCCTATAGCCCAATAAATTCAACATTTGTTTTTTTCAGATGTCTTTGTCTCTCTCTCTCTCTCTCTCTCTCTCCCTCCCTCTCTCTCTCTCTCTCTCTCTCTCTCTCTCTCGAGTTCCCAATAATGCCTCTGCCTGCAACCGGCGTACTTACGCCAGGAAGCTTTACATACACTCCCCACGCCCGTCTTCACTTTCCACATAGTTCATCTCACAGACACTGTGAATCAGTGCCTGGAGCACCAACATACACCAGAAGCCCCAACTGTCCGCATTTCCCTCGCACGTTCAATCATCGCATTTGCCTAGTCCGTTGCATGTGCCTCCCAAAAACTCTGCAGTAAATCATCGCAGTCACGACCACATTAGAAATTCTCCCATCAACACATGCAACACGCATAAACACTTCCAACATCCTATATCACCGGCACCTCTCATGTAAGTGGGAAGTATGCTCTTCGGCTACCTTCCTCATGCGGCTCCTCTACCGCATGTAAGCTCCAGGCAGCCTGCACTCTTATGTGTGAAATCTTGGTGTGTGTGAGTGTGTGTGTGCGCGCAGAACGTGCCTCTAAATCAGGCCACTCGGTAGAAGCGCTGAACTAACAGGGGGGCTGGACCAACGTCTGGCAGACGTTATTGGGAATGCACGCCCACAACAGATACCAACATTAGGGGTGTTGTGGCAGGCCAAGGTATAGGTGCACGCCGCCCTAAGTGTGATCCTGGCCGTTCACCTCCTCCCCCCCCCTTCTTTAATGGTGTCAAATCCTGGTGAGTGTACTTTGTGGACTAGAGGCGTGGTGGTATGCTTAGGTGTGGGCTTTCGCCGTGCCAACCACCTGCATCCTTTTCCGCCTCCGTTCTCATTGGCTCTCTCCTAAAATGGGACCCCGAATGGTGAGGGAGCAGGAGGTTCGGTAGGTGCTTCGCAAATTACCGTCCTTGTTCTCACCCTGCTGTGGAGCTCACGATGGACATAGTCGAAATCGACTGTAGAGCTGTCGTGTGTGCACAATGATATTAATAAGACAAGGTAGGCTGGGATGGCGACTTCCAGCTTACTAGCCGTCGTCAGCCAGCCTTGCCCAACCCCATATTTGTAACTCCTACGGATCTAATCCTCGCTCTTTTGGTTATCAGTCCAACACCTTAACCATTGGGCCCCGGGCTCGTTGTCCTGCCGATTGCGTTACACATCATAGTCGTCCCATTGTGCTTTGGAACTTTATCTAGAGCCCGGTAGGCTGCAATGCAGGGATTAGTAATATATGCGGAGGAGGACTACTGACAAAGACAAGGGAAACTGTAATGGTCATTTCTCGTTAATAAGCTGTCTCTGTACATTAGAAATAGATCACGCTAATTCGTTCCCAAAGATCTTGATCTATTTATAATTAAATTTCTTGGAATTCCCATTTTTCAATGTTCGTGAATACTCGGGCTCAATTTATCTCATCGCGTTAATCATTTCCTGAAGAAAATGAAAAAGGATAGTAGGCGAGTTTATCGTCCACAGCATACCATGACAAAACTGTGATGCACAGTATGTTGGTGAAACAGACAAACGTCTCGACGCAAGCTTGCACGGACACCAATTTGCAACTAACCATGAGTGTCAGTTGTCTCTGTCATATGGAGATATACAACGAAGGGACTGTATATTCGCCTTCGGGATTGCGGGGTGATCGACCGAAAAAGTGAAAAGATGGCCAGAATAAAGCTCTAAAATTAGCCCTCCACTGGCACAATCAACAGGGTCCTAGACCTGAATTCCGCCAACCAGGCGCTACACACAAGGATCAAGTCAGTTTGGACAGGGCCAACAGGATAGGCGAGTAAAGTCACACGGATGCGGCAGCTGACGCCCACGGAAAAGAGGAGAGGGACTGGCCGGCTAGCAGTCACTTGACCAGCGTGGAACCGTCTCACCTACGTATTCGAGGCCAAAACTAACTCCTATGAGCAGCAGCGACTGCTCAGTCAACGAAATGACGATGGGAAGGCTAGTAAGTACACTAACTTGGCTACAGCATATATATGCACTGACAGTGCCGACAAGGACAACAAAGACCGCGATTGATATTTCTGGAGTAGTGATTGAAGATCCAGCTTCTAATTTTATTACTATGCATGCCTACTTAATTCATTTACGTAGGCATGTTCTATTATTGTTACGGCAGTTGGTGCGGTTAAGTTAGGGTTAGAGTCGTGTTCAAGATCCGGGTTAGTGAAAGGGCGAGAACTGGGACTAGCTTTCCGGTTAGGGTTACGGTTAACATCTCCTGTCGCGTAGCTTCTTACCCAATCCGGCCATCGTTAATCATCAACCACAGAACACCCGTTTTGCGCCACTTTACTCGCTCTTAATTCGCTTCTTTCAAATTACGCGGCTTGCTCCGGCACTCCATTGGAGCGAGTAACAAAACAGACATACAGTGCGTGACCGATCTCATGAAATTTTGGACGAAATTCTGAAATGTGTTTTCAATTAGGAAGGATTACTTATGTGAGGTTGGAATATTGATTAGCATGCAGCATAATCCTATAGCCTTCTGGACTCACCAGAATGCCGGCTTTTGGATGCACCCTTTTTGGCGGCATGCAGAAACCGCGCTCTGTAAAAAAAATGACTACTTATGTAGTGCGCATTTTTCGTATTGATTTTCGATGGTCTTATGAATTTAAATATATTTTGTAGAAAACGTCGCAAAAAAATATGCGTTCTTTTACTCGTTCGGTAGAAAATCACATTGTCTTTATATTTTACACCCGAAGAAAGTGTATATTCAAGTTTTAAGAAAGTTTATAATTATGCGATTTTTAAGACCGCGCGACGTCCATGCGTACAGGATCGCACCTGTCCGTTTACCAGTGCTCCGCATGAAATGTACAACACAGTCCGGATCCATTGCAAAATGTCATGAACTATATATGATATCTTTTTTAATGCATATAGGGATATATGACTTTCCTTACGCGGAAAGCATGCACCTTGTAAACTGAAATGCCTAAACACTAATGCAATGGCAGATCTGCTCCAAATTATTCGGGAATTGGAAAACTTTTTAAAACCTAAATATACACTTTCTTCGGGTGTAAAATATAAAGACAATGTGATTTTCTACCGAACGAGTAAAAGAACGCATATTTTTTGTGACGTTTTCTACAAAATATATTTAAATTCATAAGACCATCGAAAATCAATACGAAAAATGCATACTACATAAGTAGTCATTTTTTTACAGAGCGCAGTTTCTGCATGCCGTCAAAAAGGGTGCATCCAACAGCCGGCATTCTGGTGAGTCCAGAATGCTATGGGATTATGCTGCATGCTAATCAATATTACAACCTCACCTAAGTAATCCTTCCTAATTGAAAACACATTTCAGAATTTCGCCCAACATTTCATGAGATCGGTCACTCAGTGTACGTCAGAAATGCGAGTTCCCTCAATGCCTATCGCAGATCCAATTAATTACCAGCCACATCTGCCCTAATCTTAAAACTTCTACTAACCTCCTTCTCGTATTACAGGAGCCTCTGAGTCCCATTTTCTTAGTGGGGTTACATATTCAATCCTTGCTGAACACGTGCAGTTAAGTGTAGTGGCTGACGTACGCGCTTGATAAGAATCTATCGATATGTTTTTTCGCTGAGAACCGGTATCCGAGATGGACATGCGATAGGGTCTTTATGAAAAGAAAAACGGTCTAAATGGGGGATAAAATGTGAGTGCCGAGATTCCAATTCTATCGTGACTGGTTCCTCCTCTCCGCCAAGTGAGCCACAAGGAAATGTGCACTTTAGTAAAAAGAGCGAAAAATGTGTTTAATCCCTTTTAGTTCGAGCTAGAATTTGAGAGTCGGATATTTTCTTTATCCATCAGACTCCGGATGTGAATCTGAATATGTTCAGGGCATTGTGGGCTCAGAAGGCAAGGCAAGCAATGCACCTTAAACTAATCAAATTTATTTCGCCTTATATAAGTTCACAAAGAGGCAAATAAATAAGTAAGGTTCCAATAGGCACAAATCCTAACGTTCGAAGGAGGCAGTAACGAGGATAAGCCGCTTTCCAACAAGGACTTTAAAACTTTAACTCGCAGTGCCTACATACCATACACCAAAAGGCCTTACTATTTTTAATTCAACGATACCCAAACGTGGTCTTACTTACTTTTCTTGAGATAAAAATCAGTCGAACCACATATATGTGGTTTATGCACCCTAGCTATAGCTAGGGTGCATAAACGACTGACTGTGTCGCAGGATTCGTGCCAGGCGTGATCTAAACGCGCCTTCAGTCCACGCTACTGACTGATTAATAAGTGGGTAACTTCAAGTCAGCCAGTGCACTCCTTTGACTGCCGGCATGTCTGGACCCGAAAGCCAGAACGGAAATGCAGTGATGACACGTCCAAGAACAGGTGCCTGCTACTCTGTGGAAATACGCCATCAGAGCTTCGCAATACTGTGTGCAGTCTGCGCAGGCGGTTTCGTCATCATACATTGGGACAGCGTGAGAAAGTGTGGTTTCAGGTCAAGGCAAATGTCCCCTACTTAAGTCAGTTTAGTAAGGAAATGAGGCTTTCGCCCTTGAGCTCCCTATTCATATCGATATACAGAAATAGAATCATCAATAACATCAACAAATGCGGAAATTTAAAAGTTAGCGGTAAGCGTGAACCAGGTGCAAACTTCCGCCGCAAAAACAATCGTGATTATATGTACAGTAGTTTCTCAGCGAATGAGCATCTAGTCTACACTTAAAGGAATCGACAGTTTCGGAAAGAGCCACCGCATCAGGGAGTCCGTTCCATTCCCCAATGACCCTGTGAGAGAAGGCGTTCCGTCGGACG